AAATTTCTTCTAAAGTTCTGACTTTACAGATGTTTTGGCATATTGTGTCTGCATTTACATTTTTTATGATTTCACAAAGTTATTTCAATATGAAGAACATTTCAATTGATTTACATTAATTTCTCTTTTAAAAAAAAAAAAGAAAAAAAAAAAGATATTCAAACGATAAAAAATACATTTTCACAAAATAAATAAAAAATTAAAAAACAAAAATGCGTGAGCTTTTTCCACTGATATCAAAAATGCATTTCTTTTCTGATGTTTTCTACTGGATAATTGCCAATAAAAAGTGATTCTTAATGTTTTTCAGTTTTATAACACTTTTCCATTTCATGGCTCTTCACTCAGCCCATACTTGCTACTTTCAGCCATTGAATCAAGCGTGTAAAGAAGGTCAAATGTTCATTCCTACCTACAGGGGCTAAAGTATAGTATCCTACTGAATAAAAATTAAACAAGCTTTCAAATCAGATATTTAAGCCCAAAGACAAATACCTTACCAAAATGGTGATACTTTTTGCTGATGGTATCATTAGAGATCAATATATCCAAAAAGTGAGTGACTCATAAGTTGATAGAAAAAAAAAAAAAAAAAAAAAAAAAAAAAAAGATATGTACTAACTAAAAACTAGATACAAAGATATAGTATTTGCCATTTTGGCTGGAGAAACAGTTAAGATAAAATTCAGTATTTAAAGAAATTTAGACAATTATTATCAAGAATAAAACAAGAATACTAACATTAAGACCCCCCCCCAATGACCAGAACTAATTGTTAATTTGTGACTTCTATGTGCCATGTCCCTTCAGGACGTTGGCAATCATGGCTCTCCACAATTTCCTGTCCTTTGTAGATGTTAATAAATTTTGTATTTTTGTTATCTCTCCTAAAACCTGTTCTGCCATCCATTTACTAAAGCTTGCCAGCTAGGTTATGCATTGTTTCCCTTCGTCCTTGTTGCCTTCAATCTGTCCTGTGAGTATCAAATGATCCAAGTCTTCTTTCCTCATTATGTGCCCTAGAAATTTCAACTCTCTCTTCCTGATAAGTGATTTTTTGTTTCCATTTTCTCTAAAACTGTCATTTCTCACATATTCAGTCCTTGGTATTCTCAGCATCCTTCTGTAGAACCACATTTCTATTTGCTTCAAGTCTCTTCATCTGCAAAGAAATTGTCTAACATTCACTGCCATAGAGGAGGACTGATATCACATAACAGTTCCATACTCTTTTCTTTGTTTCTAACTAAATTTTTCTTGTTTCTTAATACTTGTCTTAGATTTCAGAAGGCATCTTTCACTATCCCAATACAACTTCAGACATCAGTGTCACACTTTCCATCCTTTGTTTAAAATCTTCCCAGATATTTAAATTGTTGTACATGTTTGATATTGGTATCTCCAAGTTGTAATTCGTGTACTAAACACCCCAAAATGTAAACTTTTAAAGTAATGTTGAATTTAGTTTTTATTAATGTTATCAACAGAAAATACTAAATATCACAAAATATTTAACATGTGTAAACTTTTTATATAAATCGTAAAAAGAAAAAGAGGAGAAAAATGTACAAAGAAAAAAATTACTAACCTGAAGTTGCAGAAGTCGGCTTGATGGTCTGTTAAATTGCAATGAAGTTCCTGCATATTCAATGTTTTCTTTAACAACAGACACTCGAACATTTACATTTCCAAATTCCAAATGGATAATACTTGCAAATACCTGTAGTACCTGATTCGGTCGTACCTTGCGAGGAATGCTAATTAAATAGGTCCTAGATCAAGAAAATAGTTTCATTAATAAAATTATCAAATTAATATCTTAATTTAAAAAAAAAAAAAAAAAAAAACTTGGTTGGGGGGATAAATTTTTAAAAATATTGCTGATGTTTTTTTTAATACTTATATATTTCTTATATTTTATTAAAATCAGATAAGTATTTTCCTTTACCTGTTTTATTTACAGCTACTTTATTATTATTCATTACATCTTTTTTCTCCTCATTTTTCATTCTTACATCTTTTTTCCCCTCATTTTTCATTCTTACATCTTTCTTCCCCTCATTTTTCATTCTTACATCTTTCTTCCCCTCATTTTTCATTCTTACATCTTTCTTCCCCTCATTTTTCATTCTTACATCTTTTTTCATTCTTTTTTGTTTTTTTACTCCTTTTTTATTCTCACTTCTTTTTCCTTCTTACATCTTTTTTTTTTAGCTATTTATTATTATTATTATTATTATCATTATCATCTGACCATTTAGGGATTAAATTTTATTCAAATATGTAAACTTTTGATATACATTTGTAAATGTTGTTTAGTCATTTGGTTGGGAATTTATATGAGCGAAATAAACAGAGAAATTACAAACTAAAATGAAACACTAATAGAAATAAAAATGCACTTGACATTTTGATAATTGCAGCATTTCAAGAAACAAAACACAATAAATTAAAACAGCTTGACTTTTAAAGTCAGAGATTTTTCACACCACCAAAAAAACCTAAAAGAATTTTCTTTTTTTGCACCCAAACGGATATAACCAGGATCAAGCATTAGTTAATGTAGACATTTAGTCGCCATAATGTAAACAATGCAGACAGTTTCAATAAAATAACAAAACCAGCAAACCAGAATTAAGGATTCAACATTGACCAATCAAACAGAAGATCAAGAATCTAAAATTGGGTTCAAGTTGAGCCTATCTCTACCAATATAAAGAGCAGAGAATTGGCATTTATATAGTGAGTGGCAGAGGAGAAGCAACCACATCAAAAGATCAGGAACAACACATTGGTGCTATAAAATTCTATTCACTACACCTGAATAAGGAATTTGACATAAGAACTAGCACTGTGTTGATTGATAATTTGATTTATTTCTAGGTATGAGCTTTGCATACTAAAACCAAATGTGCTCCTGGCATGTGATTTATGACTAATGCTGACTATTACCACAATGAACTAATTGCTCTACTAATCCTTTTTCTTTCCATACTGCCAGTGTTTTACCTAATAAATAGTTGTTATTGTTTGTTCTATAAATCCATTAAGGCCAATGAAATAAATTGTAGACATCAAACCCTCTACAGATTTTTCTGTGTTTACAATTTGTTTTGGTTATATAGAGAAGCAGTAATGTTTAACCTTTGTACAAAAAAAAAAAAAAAAAAATTGTCAAAAGGACGGTTATTGCCTTGACACCACTATTACTGTATACACTTGACTCTCTAATATTTATTTACAAGATTATAAAATATGTGAATCAAGTACAATGTGATATTTTATTATCTTTTATAAAGAAATCTTTTATTTCAAAAATTTATAAAAATTACAAAATTATCAAAATATGTAAACCAACTACAACGCAATATTTATTATTTACCATTTCATAAATAAATGGTAAAACAGGTTTTTTTTTTAATTCAAAATTTTATAAAAATATCAATAAATTATTGTCAATTCTAAAGAATAAAGAAAATGAATAAATCCACTTTCATGTTTTGGATTTATTAAAATTCTAATTATCACTTTAAAACAAATATTGCTGAAGGAGTCAAAAGTGTATACAGTAATAGTATTGTCAAGGGAATAACTGTACTTTAGAAACACTATTTTTTATGTGTATACACAAAGGTTTAAAAGCTGTCGGAGCCTAAAGTGCCTATATATAAATTTTTTTTTTTTTTTTTTTTTAAATAGTGTGTTTCTTCAGGATGTAGGTGATCATGATTCCACAAATTCCCATTTTTTTATCATCTGTGAATTGCCAAAATATTTTGGGAAAGATAGCAAAGTTATTTCCTGTTGCTTTTAAAATTCAGAGTGTTCTCTTGGACTGGCTGCTACCCACATTTGGGAACACAGTTTGACTTGTTATTTAGCCCATAACTGGGAGAGAAGAACTGGAATCAAGACTTTTCACAAAAGTATTAGTATGAAAAACAGACTCAGCTTGAATTTGAACTCACTTCAAGAATTTCACTTCCCACATCACTAACCATTACACTAACGCATTAACATTTTACTAAACATAATTTAAATGCAGACTATTGTTTTCATCTTTGGTGTTATTAAAAGAATATTTCAACCATTGTACAGTACCATCAATATTTGGGGTCCCAGAATAAATATATTTGGGGTGTATTGGCATTTATACCCTGCCACCTCATCTTTCACTTGTGGGGGTGGTGGTAGAGATGTTGTTTTTCCATTTATATGGCTTATTCTTTTGATTTATATTTTCAGCAATTGTTGTTATTGTTGTTCTATCATTTATCTTTATTTCTAATGGTTTTTTTCATTCTTACATATTTTTCTTTCTACCTCATTTTTCTTATTGCCTCTATTCCTTTTTTATATTTTTTTCTTTTCCCTTCTTTTCTTTTTCATTCTTACATCTTTTCTTTTTTTCTTTCTACATCATTTTTCTTATTATTGCCTCTATTCCTTATATTTTTTCCTTCTTTTCTTTTTCATTCTTACATCTTTTCTTTTTTTCTTTCTACATCATTTTTCTTATTATTGCCTCTATTCCTTATATTTTTTCCTTCTTTTCTTTTTCATTCTTACATCTTTTTTTTTTCTTTTACATCATTTTTCTTATTATTCTATTCCTTTATATTTTTTCCTTCTTTTCTTTTTCATTCTTACATCTTTTCTTTTTTTCTTTCTACATCATTTTTCTTATTATTGCCTCTATTCCTTATATTTTTTCCTTCTTTTCTTTTTCATTCTTACATCTTTTTTCTTTTGTTACTCATTTTTCCTTATATCTTTTTTCCTTCTTTTCTTTTTTTTTCATTCTTACATTTTTTTTTTTTTACTCATTTTTCATTCTTACATTTTTTTCTTTAAATCTTTTTTCCTTCTTAAATCTACTATTGTAGTCTAATGAAACAAATTTTGATTGTAAACAAAAAACAAACAAAAAAAAAAGTAGTGTTACTTACACATCTTTATCTAATTTATATCCCTGTGTATTGGACAAAATTGTTTCCATATCAACAGCCGCCACCACAGCAACAAGTGCTGCAGACAAAAGTATTCGCCACATGCTGCAGACTAAAAGGAAAACAAAACAAAAAAAAAGAAATAAAGTATAACAAATTCTTAAAATGTTAAAAGTAATATAACAATAAGAATTCCTCATATCAAAAATTTCAACATGGAAAAAAATTTTTTATCAAGTGATATCTGATTGTATGAAAGCATTTGACTACCATGATATATTGCATTTTCTTTTGCTGATGTTTACCCAATAAAAGGTCCAAGAGCCAATCAGGGTAGAGTGGTTACTGTGTGGTGTCATATGAATGTAAGAAAGGGCAAGAAGTGAAGTTCTTGGGGCTTGTGCAGGAAAAATAATGGTTAACTCTAGACTTGAAGAGGTCAAGATTTAATTACTGAATAATATTTCAGAGTTGAGTCGAAGATTTTAGAAATATAGTGTGAAAATAAACTTTAGAAAGAGCCAGAATCCCAATCCTAAACAGGAAACAAAGGATAAACCTCTTCATATAAAACTATATAAAACGTTTAAAATGACAAGACAATGTGGAAAACCTATAAATGACACTTTTCACCATACTCTGTTGAGTTTGTCTTCTTCAGGTCAAAATAAAAGTGGTCTTCATTCTGACCTGAAGAAGCCAAAATTAACAGACATTTGGTGAAATACATCAGTTTTTTTCCATTATAGCCTTGCTTGGGGTGAAATGATTAAAAAAAAAAAAAAGTCTAAAATTCCTTGAATGTTATACAGACCAACATATACATGAAGGATGTTGAAGCACATAATGGACAAAATAGTGTGATAATAACAAAATGAGGACAATAGTCCTATCTAAAATAATATGAATAATAACTCCTCATCCCAGAAGTTCAGAGAGAGAGAGAGAGAGAGAGAGACTAATGTAGTACAGATTCAGTGGAAACCGGGCTAGCAATTACTGAGCAGTAGTAAAAACAAAGAAGAAAGAACTGTGGCACCATAACCAGGTCATAGGCGAGCAAACACACGCTCGATTGATACATAACAGATGTTGGAAGATATCCCGGTCAAGCACCTGACCTACTTGTTATCAATTTGGCTGAAGAAATAAAGTTTAGAGACAATGGAAAAAAATATGATAGGTGGGAAGTTTATCTAAGGATATACAGGCAAACCATTAATACGAAAACCCAGACAATTCCAGAATTGAAAATAAAGCCACACAAGATGATGTTGGCTGAAAGTGTTTTTTTGAGATAATTAAGATTTTTGTTATCAAGCTTCAAGCGAAAGAAAAAGTGAAATATTTTTATTAGTTCACGAAAACGCCACCCAGTCTGGGAAATCCCTTTCTTAGATCGTATCCAATTAGCAATAAACTGTTTGACAAATACCGCGTGTAAAAGAAACCGAGAGCGTCATTTCGGTCACATACGAAAAGGGCAATTTAAATTTTTGTTTCTTTAAGCAAGGTGTTTCTTCCCCCAGAACAAAGCCATGGATTGTCCACACCCGACTAAAGACGCCATTGGCTAGATGGGATCACGTGGCGCACGAAGGAGGAGGAAAAATACCCGACCAGGACCTCATTGGCCGAGAGCGGTCACGTGACGACGACGAGGAGAATCGGTCGGACGCCCTTGTCAGAGGTGTAAGTGTGAGGAGCCGATAAGAAGAAGCGGGTATACGCCCTCAGAGACACAATAAGGAAGTAGGAGGAAAGTGAATTACCGAAAATGGAAAATCCCTAACCAGAAATAAGAAGGGTGGATACGTATTTAGAATTATCAAAGAGAATCCTGACGCCAAACAGACCCACCCCAGTTTTGATTTAAGGCCAAAAGCGGGACCCCAACCGACAGAAATCAGAGTTGCGCTGCGGACAGCGAGGGACTTTGAGCGCAGACGGCGGGCCCAGTTCATTCGCCCCTTTGCGGGCAAGAGAGGCCGGTTCGTTTGGCCTAAGAAGAGAAGTTCGTCCAATCCAAGCCGAAGTGAAGAAGCTCGTCCAACCGAAGCCAAAGAGTAGAAGTTAATTCGCACACTGACAGCGGAAATGAGTGGCCAATAATTCAGACTCTGAAGAGAAGAAGAGAGAGTTGCAGCCACGGATGGCAAGAGAGTTCAGCCGCAAACGACAAGCAGAGATGAGTGCCCAGTGTTGAAACCGCGTCAAGATAACTGACCAAGATTCACACACACTTCTGGACTCTTCTTCAACCAAAAACAAGTAGTTTGAAGAGCGACTTGGAATCAGACCACAGAATAAGTTTTTTCGACTTCCGTCCAAAGACACACCGAAATGCAAATTTCTTAGAGAGCAGGCAACTTGAAGCCTTAAAGTTGCCTAGTAAAAGCGTTGTGCCACAATCCACAGAACGGGTCGGGAGGTAAGAATAATCTTGTGTACCAAGCAATTAGACATAAAAAGTTTGTTACCTTTTTCTTCAATATTTTTGACCTTGTGAGTTTTTATTTTTCTTGTGTGTTATCACCCCCATTGGACTCAGCTTGCATACGGCCCAATCCCTGTTTGATCCCGTCTGTCTAAGATCAAATCACAACGTTGGTAGGCAGACCGGAGATCAGTGCAGTTACCCTGGTAACCAGGCATTGGAAGCGGGTTGGGAACGACGAGGCTGGTATCAATCTAACCAAAGGGTTAGAACGTCACATTTGGAGCAGCGAGGAGCGAACAGCTGGCGCCACGAACGGGATCGAACGACACAGTCGACGCTGCGACCAGGGGGGACGACGTCACAGAACTAGATATCCCTAGACATTGACAATGGAATGAGAACCGTCTCCTCCTATAGATTAAATAAAGGGCTTAGTTCAAAACTCCAATATATGGATCAATAAACACTAGATTGAAGGTCTGATGGCACAATGGTCAACAAATTGTGACAATAACAAAGATGAGGACATCAGTTCAATTTTAAACCCCATAAATAATAAACTCCTCAGCCGAGATATTCACACAGAAATTGATGAAAATTATTTCAATTTAACAAATAAAATTTAATTTCAGTAACAGTTTGGTGAAGAGCTTGAGATTAGTTACTACTTAATGGTTTTGAGGGACTCTATGTGCCATTTCTCTTTATGATCATAGCTCTCCACAGCTTCTTTTTTCTCACTAAATACTTGCTCCCTTATAAACCTTCTTTGTCATTATGATACTCATTCTTCCATCTATTTGCTTGAACTTGTAAAACAGTGGCTTTCTTATGCTTCTCTTGCTTTCAGTTAGCCTTGTATGTGTTAAATTCCCCAAGCCTTCTGTTTCCCAAAAATTTCAGTCATGTCTTTCGGTTAACAACAATTTATACAAACATAAAAATCTATCAGTCACACAAATACAATTTTATTCAATACTTTTCTCATTTCTACAGATATTAATTTTTTTATTTTTAATACATACATTTATATGCATTTTGTCATATTATTTTCAGTATAGTATACAATATTGTCATATTATTTGCATATAAACAGATTTAAATGGTGGAGAATTGTGACAATTATTGTCCTACTATAAAGACCAGAAGGGGGCACCTAGAGGTGATGTAATGGTTAGCAAGCTTGTCTCGCTAGTAACAATTACGTATGAGTAGTGAGTTTGATCCTCATTGGGTGCCCCTTACCTTCGGCCTTGTGCCACATCCAAGCTACGCTTGGAAAATCACTGCGGGCACCTCGAGGTGGTGTAATGGTTAGCAAGCTGGTCTTGCTAGAACAATTACGGCTGAGTAGTGAGTTCGATTCTCACTGGGTGCCCCCTAATTTCGGCCTTGTGTCACATCTAGGCTATGCTTGGAAAATCACTAAAGACCAGAAGTTAAACAAGGAGAGCAATTTTGTAATTTGTATAAAAATCAAAACAGTGACACCCTAAAATTAGTGCCAAAGTTCAATTATACATTTTGGACCAATCGGAAAGGTTTCTGAAATGCTTTCAAAATTCTTATTTTTAAAGTTTCTTTCATCTGTAAATATATCAGTCTTGTTTTATGAATTGCAGTACCAATAATCACTTGTGTAAGAAATGTTACTTTTTTTTTTTTTTTAAATGCCATGTCACATTAGGACATTGGCGATTAGATAATTTAACAAAGTACAACTTACAATCAAGAACTGATTTCAACTCAAAACAATTGATTCAACTAAAAAAAAAGACAAAACGTGATAGCCTTGACTGACTAAAATTCAAACAATAACACTTGGTTACCAAAGATTTTATTATTGAGATAAAAGGCATATATCAGACTAAATTGAATGCACTGATTCCAAATCTGCATTCAGAATTGTACTAGCATGTCAGAATTTTGTGTTATATGCATGACTGGGGAAAACGATCTTGTATTATTTCATCTGGGAACCAAAACAACAAAAAAGAAACAAAAGACTTTTGCTTTTTTATATTAAGGGCAAATCAGTACATTTGGGACTACTTAAGTATAGTGGACTACACATTAAAAAAAAAAAAAAAATTAGGGAAAAAAATTTTTTTAAATAATTTTTGTAGATTAGCAAGACAACATTTGTCAAAATAGAAAAATATTAATTTTTTTTCATCATTTTAGAAGTGGGGGTCCTGTTTATAATATTAATACAGTGTAAAATCATTCCTTGAATTTTTTAAGTGATATCTTTACTGTATCTTATTTACAAATGTCAAATTTCAAATCATTTTTTGTCACCGATATCTACATATGAAAACAAACCTAAAATGATAAAAATAAATCAATATTTTTTTTGATTTTGACTAATGTCATTCCTTGAGGAAAGTATGAATGCTAATCTACAAAAATTATTCCCCTAAAAATTATACCAATTTGTTTTTTTAGGAGTGGACCAATTTAATTATGTAGGTCCATAGATTTAAAGGAAAATTATTTTCTGGCCCAGTGTAATCAATTATCAACAAACTTGGCTCTTCAACATCTGTCAATATTTCCGAGATGAGATATTTACATTGTTCAGTCAGATGCCCTCATCTTTATTGTCATATTCACAATGTTTCGGTTGTTGTACACTCTGACTTCTTCAGGTTATATACATTGAAATTTTG